CAACTGTGGGTGGTCCTATGCCTAGGCAGGAGATGCTGGGATGGATAAGACAGCCAGCTATGTATCAGGGGAGCATGCAACTCTAACAAATTCACCTATTTGGCCAGGTTAAACATAGGAATCTTCTTTGGTCTTCTTTGGGGATGGACACTTTTTTCTTCTTCTTCCCAGGAAAGTCATGAAACACCAAGAGACACTGCAGTGTTTACCTAAGTAGGTTCACTGTGTCTGCCTTACCTCTGCCCCCCGCCAAAGATAACAATCTTTCTCTATAGATCTGTTCAGTCTACTTCTTGGCTTCAAACTTTGTAACAGCTTATGACTCATTCATTCATTTGTTCGTGCATTTCACAAACAGTTCTGCACGCATCTTAGATCTTAGGCACCATTCCTAGTACTGGTGAGGGAGGAAACAAGACAGGCAAACTCCTGTCCCCAAAGAATCAACATTCTAAGGGTAAGGATATGGTGCCATGACATAATGTTTTATCTTCGAGCTCAAATTCATCATGGTGTATATTCTCTACCTGTGTCTCTGGGTACCACTTTTCACAGCGCTGTCTCCACTCTGGTACACAGTGTGTGAGCCTACTGAAGTCTGAAGCTAGGCACTTAAGTTGGGATTAGATTGTGTGTGTGTGTGTGTATGTGTCTGTCTGTTTGTGTGCCTATCTGTGGCACTGGTTATGAAGAAAGGGCTGTGCACAGTCATTTTTCTCTCCCATGACCCTGCCTTCGAGTGAGACATGTATCTTTTGGCTCACCCAAACTATCGAGGTTGATGTTGAGGGTAAGCCCACTAACCTTCTCAGGGTCTAGAAGGATCACTATAGCAGGCAAAGCTGACCTGAGGGTGAATAACACAAACCAGCTCACAAATGTTGTTTTATTGTTCTCATCTATCCTTTCTTGTTGAAATAGGAGCGGCAGGGCTGCGTCCCCGGCACCCGGCCGCCCGCATGGCTAGTGTATACCCAGAAATAATTACACGGAAACTGTATTCTTTCAAACACTGCCTGGCCTGGCTAGGTTCAATTTCTTATTGGCTAGCTCTTACATATTGTTCTAACCCATTTCTAATATTCTGTGTAGCCCACGAGCTGGCTTACCAGAGAGGATCTTAACCTGCGTCTGTCTGGAGTGGGAGCATCATGGCGACTTCTCACTAAGCTTCTTTCTCCCAGAATTCTCTTCTGTCTACTCCGCCTACCTAATTTTCTGTCCTATGAGGGCCGAGGCAGTTTCTTTATTATTATAAGACCCACCTCCATCATTTCCCCTTTTTCTGTTTAAACAAAAAAAAGAAAGGCTTTAACTTTAACATAGTAAAATTATATATCACAAAACAGTTATCAAGTAAGAATTACAGTTATAATATTTATATC